GGTAGTCAATATATCATGGGTTCAACTTTCTCATTAAGATCTAAAATGTCTCGCGAATTATGTCGTCATAATATAGCTCAAGCCAAAAAAAATGTGAATTCGGGTCTTCAATTTCTTCTGTTTTGTTCTTATCTCGCCCAGTGTTCTTTGCCCGATTGGAGGGATAGGAGGGCTAAGTTACTCGGCAGCAATGGCCGTCTGACTAATGACTATTTCCGGTGGGGTCCAGAATCGAACACTGGTGAAAATCCCGGGTGCCTTGGGAAATAGAAAATATCGGTTATTGTATTAAGCTGTGTTAAGACGTTTTAAAAAGGGTTTGATTTGTCCCACGAGGACTGGAGTGACTTTTCCCACCACTCCAATTGAATCACAAAGTTTTGAGGACTCAATGGATCTCAGAAATCTGCCAAAAATACAATTTCTGAGTTGTTGGTCCCTGTACCACCAACGATTACATAAAAGTGAGTTCAACTGATTTGAAAGTATAATCATATGCTAACTCCGGCTATATACGTGACCTTACCGTTGTCAGTGTCTGCAAGTACTTAAATAAGCATTAAGTTAACTCCAACAAAGGTAGACCGAAGGTGTTTGAAAGTAGTATAGTGACTCATACAAGATATTTACCTTAGAAAATACCGGAAGAGGTTTTGCTTGATTAATAAACGAATCTTTGAATATTTCCTTCCTAAAACTATAAAGTAGATGTATCCTTAAGAAAAGTCCCATTAAATAGTATAATTTGATTGTGAATTGTGATCATAAACACCCGTCACTACCCATTGTTTCCATTTTCACTTCAATAGACTGCGAGTCTGGTCAACCTTTTGTAATCCCCCTATTCGTCAGAATTTGATTACATTTTACTTACTTGGTACTTGGTGTTATCCTCTTGAATACTCCATTTGAAAGTCTGACAACGAGGCCTTGGGGGGGAAGGAGGGGCTTAGTTTAAGATAATCTCCTTAAATATATCGTTGTCGGGTGCTTCCACTGTATCCTGGGGCAGTTTGTTCCATTTTCTAACCGTTTTTGGTAGCAACGAGTTGATATAAATATTAGTTTTGGCTGCAATTTCAAAAAGTTGGGCATTATGGCCTACGTGGTCTATTTATCTTCGGCAAACAGGCATCTGGCTTAACATTTTCTTTCTTAAAGGACTACAAATCAGTGAAATTTAATCATTGTCATTTCTGACTTTAATATTAATAAAGATAAGTACAAATTTTTAAATGTAGAATCCACTTGCGAAACGGTATAGCTAGGACCAGACCTTTTCAGAAAAGCAAGATTATAAAGAGGACCAACTTGGGTAGGATGGCTATATAGGCCCTAGGTCTTAAAGATTGCCACAAATCGGCCTATGAACTTGGAAAAAAAGGATTGCTTAATTTGTATAGCTATTTCAATAAAAGGTATTGGCTTTTAACTGAAAATTAGAACAAGAAGAAACTAACGGAAGTTAGGGGTCATTCACAATTATCAGAATTTTTGAAGTGTACAAAGTACCGTACCTTTTTTTGGTACTCCCTCCCTCCCTTCCCTCTGAAAGTATACAAAATAACACTGTTAATTTTGCAAAACATTTTTTTTTGTGAAGTCAACTAAAGTACTGTACTTGGTTACACAGCATATATATTATCCATTTTGTGTTATAATATTAATTGGTCATAACAATCTATGATTTTAAATATATCACGTTTAATATTTTGAATCAACATGTTCATGCATATGTAAAAGTTTACAATTTTGTTTACCCCCCTCCCCTAGCGTACTGTTTGTACACTTGTGAAAATGTAGATAATTGTGGACGACCACTTAATACCGGATACAATAACATTCAAATATTACTAGAGGATTTGCATATATAACCCTTAATTTTAGGCAGCAATTTTTTACTGGATTTGTTTAGTATGTAACGTTGAAAACTATTTGTTTCGATCTGTAACTTTTTAAAAGTTTATAACTTACATAATGGTTAAGTCCTAATGAGCAAAGATTTTTATTTCATTTTAGTTGGCAGTATATACCTATCTTTTATTTATCTGGACGAAGCGCTTCAGTGAATTCAGAAACTTGACAAATTATAGGTGTCAACATATTTAGCGTGTCTATGCTAATAATGGTGTCAAATTTTGTTTGACGGCTGTTTCCAATCGAGGAAAAATTGATTGTCTTGGGAGCAATTTGCCGTTTAAATATAATTGGTCAGTTAACCTTTCAAACACCTAGCTAGGTATCATGTGAAACTAGTTTGCCATGTTTTCACAGCCGAGGATGTATCACCATGCATCCCAAGGGTAACCTCTCATTTTATGTACCTATGACAACACGAGGCAGGTCAAAGACAGGCCACGGACAGGATAAGGTGAAATCCTCGTACGAATAATCTTATTTACCATGCTCAGAATTCAAGGACAATTATAGAATATCTGCAGAGTTGTGTTGCATAATATTAATCATAATTCGTATCAAGAGAGGCACTGCACTAATGTTCATAAACTGTCCTACAAAAAAAACCCCCCAAAAAACACCACATGAGAGGCTTACACATATCTATAGCAAGCCCCGCTTAATAATTTTTCAAGTTAGGTTTTGAAACTAATCAAAGTCAAAGTAATTTTATTTTCTTCCTCCATCATGAAAAGTAAACATAAAGGTCATTAAATGAACAGGTATAAATAGGCCTATGCATATGCAGATACTGTAAATCAAATCTGGGAGTAGTTATACTGGGCAAAATACAAAATACCAAATTAATTTCGACGATAAGTTTACAATTCTCGAAAAGAGCTTTATTATATATCGATAACCAAATGAAAATAAATTATGTTCATTCATCTTTACGTAAACCATAACCCCTTACCATTCTCTTATTAATAATAGAGAGCAATGTTGAGTATCATAAATTGGAAGGGGGGGGGGGGGGGAAACCATTGCAACGAACGCCCTCTATAAAACCAATTGTCAAAACTTTGTGTTTTCAGGATCACATTACGCGAGATGTGGTTTTGTAATTTTTTTTTCTAGGCCTAGATGTCTAAATACATAGGCCTAGGTATATTATTAATCTGCATATGTGTTTAGAATACTGTTATTATTATCTAAAATTGCTGTACTGAGTAGGCTAGGCAGATTATATACAGCCTCATGCAAATAAAGTAGGCCTATCTATAGGCCTAGGCCTGCCCTAGATAGAGGGGCGTAGAGTAGTAGTAGGGCCTAGGCCTATGTATGGTTAGCCTAGCCTGCACTACCCTAGGCGAGACCAAGGGTCAGGATAGGCCGAGCCTTCTAGGTCTACCTGGAGGGTCTTAGGTAAGGAAGAAGCGCACTATAAATGCCCATACGAGTACCAGTAAGTTAGCACGTAGGCCTATGTGTGCTAAACCTGGATGATGAGTAAAGTTAAATTGCACAGATGATAGGCTAGGGTTTAGTTTAGGCCCAGTGCCTAGCCTAGATCTATATATTCAAATTTGCTAGGAAATCGCTAGAAAAATTGGTGTGCGGATTCGTAAACTTACTGCATAAATATGTAGGTTTAAAAAAGCCTAATTTTCAGCAAAATCTGCGCTGAAATCGTCAATGGATTTCTAGGCCAAATTTTTGCGTGGAGGCCAGGAGGAGGATATATTCGCTGCGCAGGCTAAACTATACAGTCAGGGGAGGCGTAAGGCCTAGTCTCTCCATAAACAATACTCTTAATGTTCTTAGCTTAGCACTAGGGCCTAGACTAGGAGTAGAGTCTAAGACAAGAGAGCTAAGGCTAGAAGCTAGGCCAGTGGCTAGGCTGAGTGCTGCCTCTTTGGTTGGTTGTAGAGATGTTTAAACATGGCAAGTATATCATTTTAACAGTCTGAGTGATTTAGAATTTTTGTATAGGAAATTCAATTTAGAATTTTTGACAATGTGATAACACACATTTTTGTAAAATTATTATGACTAAAAGGGAAGGCAATTCTGATGTAACTCATAATAATGTTCACAGTACATTTTAATATATTATACAAATGTCTACGAGGAAATTAGGCCTACCTAAACTTCATCAGTAACAATCAATTTATTCTTCTTCATCGTATTGCAAAGAGCTGCGAAGCGTGTCAGTGTGCGTACTACTAACTAGTAAATCATTCTCATATGCACAGCTAATGCATAAGCACAGTTAATATATTGATCACTGAGCAACCAGTCACTGCAACCTGGCAGTTTGGTTTAATATATAGCCTAAATATAATTATATAAATCAGGGTGACTGCATTACAAAGCAATTATAGGCTATGTTCACACACACGGCGTAAGACTGGCGTGGCTTACACCAGGCGTAAGCTAATCCACGGATTAAAATTCCAAAGTGTTCACACAAACGGCGTTCGTTACACTAGCAGTAATATTGGCCTATCTGGTGTGGAATAATTTTCAGTTTTAAATAATGTATGTGTTAACAGGTAGTAAAATTAACAGTGCATCATGAAAACTTTTAAATCTGTGAATTGTTCGAAGTGAACTTAGGCCTATATGATTATTGTATTTTAAAT